TATATATATATATATTAGAAACCACATTGACAATGTCCTAAATAAAAGTGAGGGACCAAATAGTTATTTACTCGATAAAAAAATAAAAATATCCCTCCCTGGATTATTTTATTTGTGTACGTTGCAAGTTGTGTGTATAGTCTGAGTCTCGTTCGTTATCCATGTCCATGGAGTAACTAACTCACTACTGATGAAATGTTGCTTCCTGCAACTCACTTCCACTACTTCCCCACCTTTCCTCCTCCTCCTCCTTCTTCTTCTTCATTCTCCCTTTTCCCTTTTCAAATCCCCAAAACCAAATCCAAATTCCTCATTCGCTGCTCCGACACTGAAACCCTCCCCGACTCCGCCATTCAGAGAATCGCCGACAAGCTCCGCACCCTCGGAATCACCGACGAATCCCCCGCCACCACCTCCACCTCCACCTCCACCTCCACCTCCACCGCCGCTCCCTCTTCCTCCTCCGGCGCCGGCGAGATCTTCGTGCCTCTGCCGCAGCACCTCCCGAATCGGCGCGTGGGGCACACGATCGACCCGAGCTGGACGAAGCAGGAGAGGGGGGAGGAGCGGGTGCCGACGCTGGCGGAGCTGAGCCTGTCGAATGCGGAGATTCGGCGGCTGACGACGGCGGGGCTGGGGATGAAGCAGAAGCTGAGGGTGGGGAAGGCGGGCATCACGGAAGGGATCGTGAATGGGATTCACGAACGGTGGAGGAGTTCCGAGGTGGTGAGGGTCGTGTGCGAGGATCTCTCTAGCTTCAACATGAAAAGGACTCATGACTTGTTGGAGGTAAGAAAACAATACCCCACTGTCATTGCCATTGCTTCAAAATTTGTTACCAACTTAAGTCTACTGAGATTGTGTGTATTTGGAAATAGTTGAGTTCAACAAAACTTAGCTTAAAAAAACTACACTTGGATACTTTTTGCTTTTTTTTTTTTTTTTTTTTTACATTGGAATATGTGATTTTTCAACTTGGTTTTAAACAGATATCCAAACATTCTTATTGTTAGGATCGTCCCATTCGAAGTATTGTCCGTTCATTGGACTGTCACAGTTTTGCCTGCAAACAATCGGATGTGGTGACACCATCGATGTAAACAGACGGTGGGAACAAAATCAATCAGTTATTATTGCTCTATGGAAATAGCACACTGGTTACAGGGTGTGGAATTGGAACACCCGGACATGTCACTCAGTTAGAATCACACTAGCTATAATTTAATTAGAATGCACCTTTTACACTGTCATGGATAGCCGTTATTGACTTTTGAAAATAATTGTTTTAACCCCTGTTTGAATGTAAGTGCTTATAAGAAGAAAATAAGGAGGTAAAAGTAATCAAGTTCTGTTTATGAACACTTATATATGGATAGGATTCAGAAGAAGATAAGAATGTTAAATGGATTAAACTTCTCCAGTAAGCTAAAAACAACTTGGGGCAGGTTTGGATAATTTTTTCTGGAAACACTTTTAGGAGAAAAAAATAGGAAGGAAAAATCAAATTAGCTTCTTCATAAGTTAAAACTAGCTTATGTATAAGTGAAAATTAAGATTTTAGAGATGCTGATAGGAAAGAGCTTATATAAATTAGCTTTTGGAGAAACTTATTTTATTTTCCCTTATTTTTTTCTCATATAAGTCTTTTAGAAGAAATTTACCTAAACAGATCCTTATGCTCTTTAGCTTTTTGAGAAGTTAGACAACTATAGATAAGTACATAAATTGATTTTAGCTTATGAGAAAAACTCAATTTATTTTAACTTCTTATTTTCTTATCCTATAAGTGTTTATGGAGAAATGTATCTAAATAAGGTCTTAAGTTTCTGCCATAAATTAAAATCAACTTATGCATTTTCAACTTTTTATAGAAACCATCTCATTTAACTTCTCCAAAAGCTGATTTTAACTTATGTATAAACTAATTTTTAACTAAGAGAAGTTTAATTCATTTTGCCAACTTATTTCCTTTCCTATAAGTACTTGTTGAAAGTTTATTCAAACAAAAGCCTAAATGTCAATCTACAAAGATTAGTAATTGGATGAAAGTGTAAAATTTGTACTTGACATTGTATCTCAAGTCAATAGCTAGCTCCATACCAGGAGAGCAAAGGGGGTGGAAACCCAACTGTTGCTATTTGCATTCCAATCTGCTTATAATTTCCGTTTTTCATGGGCTAAAATGCAACAATTAATGCATAGATACTTCAAAATTGATGATATAGTTATGTTGAATCAGTATGGATATCTAAGGAGCCTAAGTGATCAACAAAAACTTTAAAAGAAATCAATAACGTAATCATACTGTACCCAATTCATACCTGTGCAACATACTAAAAAGCTCGCTTCAACCATACTCCAAAATTTGATTAAGTGAGTTATTTGCCAGTACGTGAGGAATTAAATTGGCACTACTTTGCATGTTTTGATAAGTTCAGAGCTGAATTCCTAAGATGATATTTTTTTCCGGTATCAGTTGTTTTGATTTTATTTATAAGATTAAAATAATGTCATTCTATTTTCTGTGTGTTTTGTGTTTTCAAGATATTGTTAAAATGTGAAAAACAACATTTTTTTGTTTTTGCTCATGCTGTTTCCTTTGCAAATTCTTGAAATCAGGAGATAAAAGTGAAAAATATGTGGCATATTTGTAATGACTATTGAAAACATATGAAATGAAAGTAAAAATAGAAAATAAACTGAACAATACCTAGGTTTACAACAACTACAGGAGGTTTTCTTCAATAAACCTATTGCTGGAGTGGGTATCTGCATTTTACCCTTTCAATTTATCCAATATGATTTCATTGCCCCTTGTGTAATTATCTGATTGTAGATTATTTCTTTGTCATTGTCAGAGAAAAACTGGAGGCCTTGTTGTTTGGAGATCTGGAAGTAAGATAATATTATACCGAGGGACTGATTATAAGTACCCTTACTTTCTATCTGATAAAGTTTTGCAAGATGACAACACTGGTGGTGCTTTGCAACAAACTGATGAGGATGATCAAAATTGTGATAACCGAGAGAGCCACTCCTCTGAAAAGAATTCAGTGACATATGCTGGGAAAAGTTCAAATGTCAAAACAGCAAAACCAGCTTTAATACAAGGTGTTGGCAGTCCCAATAAATTACGATTTCAACTGCCGGGTGAGGCAGAGCTTGCAAAAGATGCAGACTGCTTGTTAACAGGGATCGGGCCACGATTCACTGATTGGTGGGGATATGACCCTCTGCCTGTTGATGCTGATCTTCTTCCAGCAGTTATTCCTGGATATAGGAAGCCTTTTCGCCTTCTTCCATATGGTGTGAAGCCTAAATTAACAGATGATGAAATGACCGCAATGAGGAGACTTGGCAAACATTTACCATGTCATTTTGCTTTAGGTGAGTTTTTCCTACTTTTTCTTATCTGACCAAAATTAGATGTAATTGTATTTCTTGTTCTTTTGTTTCTCAGGTAGAAACAGGAAACTTCACGGATTGGCTGCTGCAATTATTAAGCTTTGGGAAAGATGTGAGATTGTTAAGATTGCTATAAAGAGAGGTGTGCAGAATACTAACGGTGAGGAGATGGCTGAAGAGATAAAGGTCAGTTATTGTTTTTTCTGATGATTATCAAATTTTATGAAATTTAGCACTTATGGTTTAAATATTATGGTAAATGGAAGTGTATGATTGCTTGTGAATGGCACTTCTGCTGTCAACTACTATCATTCATGAATATCATTTTGTAAATTACTCGAGAAGATGATTTGCAAGTTTACATATTTGTTGTCATCCTTATGTTCATGCTGGTAGCTGAAGTGCAGGACCTTAACTACTGTCCTTAACTAACAAGTTTTCTACTTTTCTCACACTCAAACATAAGTGGCAAAACTGGATGCTAGATATGTTTGCATTATATCAATTTATTCTTGGATGTTTCCGATCACCCTGTAGGTAAAATTGGCTAGTGCCTCAAAAGAAATTCATAATCCCTGTTGTTATATCTTGCAAGTTCCAAATAACAATTAGACAATGTCTGCTAATTTGTTTTAAAAAAGAAATGTGTTATTCACTTTCTCTTTTCCCTGTAGACTTTCTTCCTTATTATTGAGATTATTAGTCATATTTTGGTGGAAAACATCTAGCACGTTATGGTCAGACCGTCAGAGTGTCCTGGTTTAGGAATGTGAATCTAACTCGAATTATCAAAAGATCAAGAGATATCATTGTAATACTACTCATCTGTCAAAATGTAATTAATGATTAGAATTTAGGTATCCCAACACCATGCACAGAACACCATCAAGCAGCAACAACTCAAAACAGAGATCAACTCACATGCTCAGCGACTGCAACACTAACCAGAAAATGCAGTAACAGAATAGAGAGACAAAAAGAGTAATACCCCCTCAGTTCCCTGACCAATGTGCTATGAGATTCCTAGCCAGATGGCTGAATTCCTTTCTAACCCGTTTATTTTCATTTTATTTCTTATAATTATTGTTCTCCCCAGTAACAACCTCTTGCATAACAGAATGCTCCTCCCCATTCTTGCCATGTGTCCCTCTCGTTCTAGTGTCAACTCTTTATACTCTTGGGTTAGGCTTTTATTGGGTTGGTCCAGCAATTCATCTTGATGGCTTTGGGTTCCATCACATTGCCTTCATCTCGCTTCTGCTGATTTGTTTGGATAAATTATGTACATAATAGATTTCATAATGTGGGTACAGTGGTGTTGAAATATTGACTGATCCGGGATCACCCAGGCAATGCTTATTTAGAAAATGGTAGTAAATTAATGAGGTCAAGATATGATGTTAACTGATTAACTGCCAAATGATGCTATTATGACAATTAAATTGAGTCTTAAGATGTTTCTTTAATTTGGTTTAACTAAAATAAGTAAATTGAATTTAATGATAAAATTCCCATCACTTTTGATCACTATCTTGAGGACAGGAATGGTGGCCCCGAAATCTTTTTTAAAAATTACATAGTTGGCTTTGTACTTTATCTTATTTTCTCTTGTTTTGTCCCAAGAGACGAATAGAAGAACTAAAGATTTGCTAACAGTTTTATATTAATTGCATTACTGATCTGGCACAACTGTTTGGGGAGCTAGTTAAACCCTGGTTGTAGCAATATTGGACAGATCTCATATATAATTTTTTTTGGTAAATATAATAGTTGTGAGTGATAGTTGTTTTAAAGAACAAAACTAAAACACAATCGTGTTTTAAAAGCAAAAAATATGTATGATACTATTATATCTCAATTTCAGTTTAATAAAAGATATATTTCTCTGCAGCATCTGACTGGAGGTACTCTCCTTGCTCGGGATAAAGAATTCATCGTTTTCTATAGAGGAAAGGACTTCTTGCCAGCTGCAGTGTCGTCAGCAATTGAACAGCGGAGGAGTATCGGACTGTACAAACTGAAGACTGGAAACAGTTTGTCAGCTACAGTTACTCCAGACCTGAAAGATGGAACCATAGAGTGTGATTCTGAGGCAGCTATTAAAAATACTAGCGTCAAACTGTCAATGGTATGATTTCATTAACAAGCTCCAGTTTGCTGTTTTTCAAATGTTATTTTGGAGTTACAGATGGTATTGTAGCTTTCACATACAGGCACTAGAAGAGAAAGCAAAGGCTGAAAAACTTCTAGCAGAGCTGGAAAATGCAGAGAGCCCCCAAGAAGAAATCAATAAAGAGAATATTACTAAAGAAGAGAAATACATGTTGCGGAGGATTGGCTTGAAGATGGATCCCTTCCTTTTACTAGGTGATTCTTGAATATGATGTTTGAAATTCACAATCATAGATAGTTGATTGTTCTGAATTTGGAATAAAATGCCTGAGATCTTTAATCCTATTTAAAGTACTTGACTTGTGACAACACTTTTTCCTGATAAATCTTTTCTCAGGTAGACGAGGGGTTTTTGATGGAACGGTGGAAAATATGCATCTTCATTGGAAGTATCGGGAACTTGTGAAGATAATATGTAATAAACAGCTAAGCCTGGAAGATGTCCAACGGATAGCTCAGACCTTAGAGGCAGAAAGCGGTGGAATATTAATTGCAGTAGAAAGAGTGAACAAGGGCTATGCAATCATTGTGTATCGCGGAAAGAATTATAGTCGGCCTGCAAGTTTGAGGCCTCGGACACTTTTAAATAAAAAGCAAGCATTGAAGCGCTTTAAAGAAGCACAGCGCTGTGAGGTAAAGGTGTCATCATTCAATTGTATTTGCATAGGAGTATCAGCTGATTTGTTTTCAACATTTCCTTTGTGAAAAGGAGAAAAGAAATTGTATGGTAGGAGACATTTATTTGTCTGGTATTCCACGTTTAAAATGACGATTATAGAATAGTTTTGCATCACTTCTAATAAAAAGGATCTTCATATATAATCTTTTTTAGAAGATATTTTTCTTAGAGTTATTATATGTATGAATTTAAATACCGAGAAGTACTTGTTTTTTGTTTTTAATGTTTCAACAGCTTTTTCAATGTAGTAAACAAGATACTTTATTTGAAGCACCAAACTCTAGCTTAAAAAAAATCATTTGTTGTTTTATGAATGCTTCAGTTTTTAAGGAAGTGCTCAGCTGAACATTCTAAAACATTGCAAAGTGCACAAAAAATTCTTATCTAGCAATAAGCACATTCAATATTTATTTGGTAGACTGATAGAGTTAATATTATGTTACTAGTGGTGCCTGACAAGTAACCACTACACGTGGCATGGTTCTTTATCCTTGTCATTCATTTGAAAAGGAAATCGACTGCTAATCTTATCTTATATGTCACAAATATCACAACCTTCTTGCTTTCTCCTCACTTCTTGCAGTCATTGAAGCTCCATGTTTTGAAGCTAGATAGGAACATAAACGACTTGAAACTTCAAATGGTGAGTGCTCCTTGTTTTCTTTCTCATGTTCCTGAAATACATTTTGATTTCAATTAAGGAATATAGAATATTCACCTTATTAGGTTAAAGATATGGAGGCAAACAAGAAGCAGACTTCTGCTGACAATCAACAAGCAACACAGGATCAGCCAGTTGAGCTGATTCACAGTGATGGTCAAGCTGAACCAGAAAATTCCATAAATTGGAATTCTACTAAAGAAGCTTCTGTTTACAATCAACAAGCAATACAGGAGCAGTCAGTTGAGCTGCTTGATGGTGGTGGAGCTCATCAAAGTGAACCAGAAAATTCCATAAATTGGAACTCTCCCAAAGAAGCTTCTGTAGTTTATCAACAAGCAATGCAGCAGGGGCAGCCAGTTGAGCTGATCGATAGTGGTGAAGCTCATCAAGGTGAAGCAGGAAATTCCATAAATTGGAATTCTAAAGAACCTTATGTTGACGATCAACAAACAATACAAGAGCAGCAAGTGGAGCCGATTGATGGTGGTGGAGCTCATCAAGATGAACCAGAATCCTGGTCTGGTTTGATTCCTAAAGAAACAAAGGCAAGTACGTGGCTTTGACTGATGAAAAATGAACTGTTGACCTCAATTCTCTCCTGGATTAACATCTGGTTATGTCAAGGCTTCCTTTGACATTTTCTGGATTCTTGTTTCATTTCTAAATATTGATTTGGTAAAATTATCTTGGATTTCAGTTGGATGGAGTTAGTGATTCTGTGGTTGATACAGAGCATTGCTTCGCTAATAGCAAGGTAATGGAATCATCAATCATAGCATCTAAGAGGGATGCTGAACTATCGGCTCCATTGACAGATATGAGTTCAAATGAGTTTCCTTCTAGATCTGTATATCTTTCCAACAGAGAGAGACTTCTTCTACGAAAGCAGGCATTGATGATGAAAAAGCGACCTGTCCTTTCCGTAGGTATTGTTTTTGGCTTGTTTCAGTAAATATAGCTAACTAGCATTCTATGTTTTGGTCCTTAGGTAGTGTTTGGCGTAGTTCTCTGGGGGGGCCTTCTCTTAAAAGAAGTTAGACGAAACACAATGTTAAAGAAGTTATAGAAAATAAAAGTAGCTTTTATTTTCTTAATGAATAACCAAAACCAGAAACTTCCAGAGAGCTAATTGGTGGAGCTTCTAGCCTTCTATTTTTAAGAAGGCAAGCTAAAAGGAGAACTTTCTTTTTTATATGTTCATTCTAGATTACGTAAATCTTGAATTATTAATAAATATCAGATGCTTGAAAGCTCTTCATTCTAGATTATGTATTTGCTTTTTCTCCACGTGGTTCTGGAGCGGCAGTTCTCTGCTTTGCTTTATATCTCTTTTGTATACTGAAATTATGTTAATTAGAAGGAATGTGTCGTCTCTTTTTTGTTTTATGGACATAATTTCTTTCCAGGAAAGAGCAATATTGTAACTGGTCTTGCGAAAGTAATCAAAGCTCACTTCCAGAAGCACCCTCTTGCCATAGTTAATGTCAAAGGAAGGGCAAAAGGGACCTCAGTTCAGGAGGTGGTGCTCAAGCTAGAGGTGCTCATGCTGAATTGCTGAATTTTCCTTTCCTTTTTTTCGTCTCTTTTTCATTGAATTATTCTTTCTTGTCTTGGTCAAAAAACACTCCAAGTCCCTGAAATTTGTTTTCCCTATTATTCTTGCAGCAAGCAACAGGTGCGGTTCTAGTCTCTCAGGAGCTTAACAAAATCATACTTTACAGGGGTTGGGGGGAAGAAGAGAAACCTAGCTCCGCAATAAATGTTAATAAAGTGGATAAAGAGGGAGAGACAAAGCTCCGTGTCTCTCCTGAACTTTTGGAAGCAATCAGAGTTGAATGTGGATTGGAGTGACAAACATAACATTGCAGCTCTTTACTGATCATTTTTTTTTAACTTATTGCCATAATTTTTTTTATCAACACTAGGATTTATAGGAGATAGAGCTACGAAGTCAAAGAAAGTTGGGCTGCTGATAAATATTGTACATTTGTACCGGGAGGAAGAACACCAGACAGGAACTGGATAAGGAACAAGAAATAGACAGAATGGGAGAGCTTTAATTATTCTTGAAGCCGTTTTGGCTCGAGTCCTTTAATACCTTGTGTGTTTGGTTTATAGTTCCAAAATTGAGTTGAACTAAACTTTCTAAATTTAAGTTTAGTTTAAAAGCGAGTTTAATTTGACTTGATTTATGTTTGGTTTTCTTTATTCTAGAAGTATTTTTATCAAATTGGGAACTTGTTTAGATGATAATAATTGAAAGTACTTTAAACGAGTAATTCCTAAAATGGTATAAATTTTATGATAAATATGAATTTATTTATTTAATTATTTTTCAGGTAATTTTGAATTGATAATATAATAATAATAATAATAAATGATCATGGTATTATAAATTAAATTATAAATAATGTTAAGATATTTTCACAACAATAAAAAAAAAATTGTTACTAATATTGATTGAAACAAATAGTAGTAGTTTGTGTCTCTTAACCCAAATGACTAACATTTGAATTATAGTCTTAGGTATGGAATAAACTTTATATTAATACCATAGTTAAAAGAAGAGTATATTTTTTTGTCATTACGTATCACGATGTAGGTACTCGTTTCCAATTCATGTGGATTCATATGTACATGACTAGTATGTTCATGAGATCAATACCCACATGGCATGTTATGGGATATTTCATCCTTGGAAGGTCCATTTAAGTATACAAATGGCAAACCAAACATATCCTATGTTTGGTACATAGAAGAAAGTGAAAGGAAAGAAATAGTAGAAAATGAGATGATTTGTTAAGTAGTTTATTAGGAAAGAAGAAAAGTACTTCGTTCAATAATTCATGTTCTATATCAAATTTTAATGATCCAACCATTAAATTTAAAGTTCTTAATGCATAAATTAAATTTGCAAATTTTTAAAAAATTTAAAATCATTTAATACTTCGTTTCATTAATTCAAATCAATGTATAAAATGATTTTATGATTATCCGTCAATTTGAATTAATGAAATAAAGTATCAAATGATTTTCAAATTCTTTAAAAATTTGTAGACTTGATCTATGCATTAAGAACTTTAAATTCAACGGTTGGATCGTTGAAATTTGATGTAGAATATGAGTTATTGAACGGAGTAAGTCTAAGTAAACTTACTCTTAGAGTAGACAGATCCCTCTTTTATATATATATATATATATAATATGTAGATATATCTATTATTATAAAATTTAATATAACAAAGTATAATTAAATTATTGTGGTAATTGTTTATTTATCTATTATAATAATTTTAATGTTATTTTTTTTATAACTTAATTGATTTATTGAATGTTTTATTTTATCTAACACAAAAAGTATGAATAATTAATGACAGTGAATTTTTTTTTATAAAAGTAATCAAGGATAATTAAAAGTTTAAGAACTAGAATTCTGTTTAGGGTTTCATAATAGATATGTTGTTTTAGTTGGATATCTCAAATTTTTTGGTTGTCAAGGGATATCTAATTTTCTAAGTCATATTACATTTTTTTGTCATGTACAATCCTGGAAGTAACACTTCATATTCACAAAGTTCATTTTGTTGACAAATGAAATTAATTAACTTGCTTAGATTGTATTTTTATGGAAGTGGAAAATATCAAAACTTGAAGTCCCTAGCTGCAACATGATTGAAATATGATACTTAGTTGAGTTTGTCAATGATATAACATAGTTATACTTGTTTTTCTCAATTTGTTTTATTTTGATCAGAGACAAGTGACAACACAATTTCATATAAATGACATATCACTTTTATTTTTATAAGTGTGTTGCATGGATATGGATACTGTAGTAGAAAACGAATTTTTTTTCTCATAGAAATGGTTCACAAAATGATTTAAAAATGATAATCAATGACTATCATGTGTTCATTAGTTCATTAGATGTAATTTCTTTTAATAAAATATTATTTTAACTTTGATAAGAATCAATTATTTATTATTGAATGGTTTATTAAGTTGTTTGGTAAGAAGAAAAATGAAAACAATTCTCAAATCACTCATCAATCTCGTTTCTTTTCTTACAAAATTTAATCTTTTCTGTTATCAATTGTCTGACTTTGTATTACTTCATCATTTTTTAGAAAACAAAAATTATTCAAGCAAAATTTACATTTTTTTTTCTTTTCTTCTTATTATTGATTGTCGTATTTTACTCTTTCTTATTTTTTTTTTTAGTGTTTGGTTGTTTGCAACACTCATTGTTCTTAAGATGAGATTTTTTTTAATTCTTATTTATTTTGCCAAGTGTTTGAAAGTTAAAACACCTAACTGTGATAGTGTGATATTGTTCTTAACACCTATTCGACTATTCCTGCTACTAAATTTAGTAGTTTTTTCTTCTATCAAATTTTATATTTTATTTTTAACACTATATTTATACAATTTTTGATTTATTTTTTCATTTTAATTATTCTTATTTTTATGATTCTATAAATTTTAATTGTTCTTACCTTCTTGGTTATTCGTTACATAAAATTGAAAGTTAGTGAAATTAGTAAAAGGGGATGGAGGATTATAAAATGTGATACAGTTGGTTTGCCCCTTGTTATTTATGTTATAAACTTATAAATTTAATATCATAAATTTAAAAAAAAAAATAAAATAAAAATTGTAATTATGTTGTCTTGTTGTTTGAAACTATTTATTGAGACTATTTTCATATTGATAAATTGTTTTTAATTTCTTTCATATTTTTTGTAATTTATAAAAAAATTGCTTATAAAATTATTGATGTTGTTTTATTTTTTATATTCAATAATATAAAATGTTGTAATTATTTTTAATCAATTATTTTATGTTACGCATATGTTACGCATATAAACTATATATA